TCTGCGGGAAACAACGCCGGAGGCGCAGGAATATTCAGTTGTGTCTGCATTATGGTGCTGAAGGACTTTCCAGCAAGAATTAGCGAGGCTGACGCCGAGAGCTGCCGGCGCTGTTCAGTATTTTTCTTAAAATACTGGGTTGGTGCCTGACCGCGGGGCAGGAGCGTTGCAGCGCAGGGATGCTCTTCGCCTTTGGGGCAGCCGACGATGGAAATGCAGAGAGCTGGGCACCTTACGGGGTTCGTGCCGGTCTGAGAACGTGTTTGAGCTTGTAGCTGTCTTGTTCTGCTTTGTGTGAAATATGCTTGAGCTTTTGCTGCAGCCAGGACTCTGCGGTTAACGATGCCACAACTGTGAGGCTTCAGAGCTAGGCGGGATTTAGTGCCTGGCTCGAGGCAGGAATGAAGGTTTGGATAGCGGCTCTTCAGCATAAGCTGCTGTACCACTGATGCGCTTTCCCGTATGCTGCTTTTATTGCTGCTTACAAAATACCAGATGTCCATGCAGTTTTAAGCCTCGTCCATTGAGGAAAATAAACCACTAAGAGGGAGTCAGCAAAAAACATCCAGTAGGTTTCTGTTTTTAAAATTGTTTGACTTGCTTGATTGCCATACAATTTATCTACAAGAGCTGATTTATGCAAGAGTATCCAGTTACAGAACTGCCAAGGCTATGAGAGAACGCAGCCAGCAGAGCCTCGGTGGACACGTCCTGTATGTAGGATTATTCAGACATCCAGGAATGCTGCACAGGGCTAAGTACAGCCGATTCAGGAATGATTCGATAACATCCCTAGATGAAGGTACGCAAAATACGTCTTTAAATATCAAAGGTTCTTCGTCCTCTTCCCATTCTTCGACACCTAATTTACTGACAGAAGATGTCTCCTTGGGGCCACAGGACACCTGCACCACTCTGTGCACGCTGATCCCCCGGATGGCTAACATTAAACTTGCTAACCCATCAAATCTGCCGGGCCTGAAAAGCTTCTGCCTGGGAACGAAAGAGGTGCCAAGAATTAAACTCACGGAGTGCGTTACCATCCCAAGCAGCCCAACCTCGCCTGAGATCAGCTGCCTCTCGGCCTCTTATCCACAGCCTGAGCTGGACAAGCTGGCCCTAACCCCAAAGCCGGCAGGGGACTGCACCGTGCGCGGAGCTGAGGAAGCTGCTCCTGCGGGCAGGCAGGACAGGAGCCTCGCGCTGAGCGGTGAAAACGTGGGGGAGCCAGGAACGACCTACAGCGTGCGGGTGAGTACTTCTCACATTCTCTGACAAAGCAAACCACGCAGGTGGCCGCAGGGTGACCTCTGTGTTCCCACTCCTGAGGCCAGTGCCCCAAACCACTGACTTCTCCCGTGTATTTCCTGTCTCCTGATGTGTGAAGGGCCGTGGTGTTGAACTGAGGGAGTTAAAAGGACCGCAGCCGCTCCCAGAGGTAACACAACATCCATTTCCAAAAGACTATCTTTAGACTCTCTGAGGAGTGCAGCCGAGCTGCAATTCAAACAGGGCTTGCTCTGGCCTGAAATGCATGTTGGAGGGAGAAAGAGGCCCACAGAAAGGGCTTCCCATCCCTCGCAGAGCAGCTCCCAGGCACTAGGTGCATGCTGGCCCACGCTGCTGACATGTTTGTCATGGAGGGCATGGGAGAGCTGCTGGGACTGCTGCTGCTGCCTGGAGCACCTCTGGGCGATGAGCGGGCAGGATGCAAAAGCCATCCTCCTCCTTTGATGCTAATTAGCACCCTGTGGCACCCCTGCCACGCTTGGGAGCTTTCTAATTTTCTTTTCCTTTCTGGGCTTTATATTTCTGTGGCCAGACCTCACCATGTGCTAGCTGTTGCTTCCTTCTCTACGCTCTGAACCTCTAACCCTGCACATTTTAGTGCTTATGCTTCATCTGTCAAAAGCACTTCCAGGCAAAAACTGCCTGCTGCTTGCACGGAGGGAGCCAGTGCAGACCACAGGGGAATGGCAGAGAAAGCAGTCTAAACCTGCTTCAGAAATACTCACGTAATGGCCGGGCTGGCCAAGAGCTCCTGTAGCTCTCACAGCCCTCCTGCCTGTCCCTGACATGCAAGGGGGACCGCAGGAGCAAGCTGTACAAGGGGTTATTATTCCTCCTGGTGGGTTGCAAGCAGAGTGCTGAGAGAGCGAGAGCGTGTGTCTGTCTGTGTGTATAAGCTCTCAGTTTGGTGTACCGGAGGTATCAAAATGTGCCAGAAGGTGTAAAAAAGCTGTGCTAAATTTGTGTCTTTCGTATGATGTTTTGGAAGTCAGTCTAAAGAAAGGTTCAAGGCCAAGAAGAATCAATCAATCCCTTTCCAAATGCAGCAGGAGGGCAGGCAAGTCAGAGGGGAGTAGAGCAACAAGGGGAAATAGCTGTGTTCACCTTTCTATGAGATGCCTGCCTGGCATCCAGCTGTGGTGGCACAGCTGGTTTGATGGGATGTTGGCTGAAAGGTGATGGTGTCCCAGCATAGCAATGGCCACTGTGAGTGAAGCCACAGGAGGTCCCGGGACATTCTCCTGCAGTGCAGCAGGTGGAGGGAGGGGACACACACTATTTCGTTGTGCTGATATGTGTCCTTTTATGTTTGCTTTTCTTTAAATTCTAATACTAATGTGAACAGTTGAGGTTTTGACACCAGCAAGCTGCTAAAATAGATGAATGAGCATGTAGGGTGTGACTTACAGAGACAGTGCAAGGGCCACCGCAGCTCCAGGCTGCTCCGTAGCTCCACGACACTTTTGGCCAGCCCAGTGGAAAGGCCTGCGCCGGTGGATGGCATCGTGATGCCCAGCGCCCTCCACACAGGACCTGCCTCGTGCGCCGACTGATGCAGTGGAGTTCATGATTAAGGCTTTGAGGTACCTGTAGAGATTCAAATACTTAAACGCTAATGCCAGAGGCACACTTAAAGAATTCAGTTTCTGACATGGGGAGGAGAAGATGAAGCATAAGGGGAATTTCCTGGGCTTCTGTTGTGGTCCAGGGCTGAGAGCAGAGGCACTGAGGTGGGGACCACATGAGCACGAAAGTCAGAGGAAAGAGCAAAAAAAGAATGACTTGATGGGAAGGTTATGTGAAGTGGGGAAGGGCTCATCCCCTCCTGCTGCTCCCCATGTTTTATTTCCAGTATGTTTTTCTACCGGTCTTTCTGGAAGTCAGGATAATTCATGGTGATTCTCTCTGAAGGGGGGGTCGCTAGCAGGAGCCTCCCAATGCACTGGGGAAATGTTGGTTCCCTGCGTCTTCCTGCTACTGTTGCTCCCGCAGCCGTGGGCGTGCAGGAGCCAGCCCCAGGGGAGCTGCAAGAGCATTGCTGGTGTGTGTCAAAATGTGCCCTGGCCAGACTCTTGGTGGTGTTTTCAGCCAGCCCCTTTAATAACCAGCAGGTCAGCAAATAAGCAGCCTGGGGGTTCGGGGGCCTCAGCTTCAGCGCATGGGCAAGGAGCTCGTTTCCCCAGGGATCACGAGGCTCCTCTGGGAGCTGGCGATGAAGCCTCAGCCGGGCTGGGCAGAGGCCAGGGGCGCAGGGCTGCAGTGTGGCAGGAGTGTGGCATGGAGGGATGGTCTCAAAGCGGGGCCGGGAGGCTGAGGGGCCAGGCAGCCACGGGAGCTGCTCCCGATCCTTACCCTGTTCTCCCAATCCTTACCCTCTTGCCCTGGCCCTTGCCCTCTCTCCTGTGGCATTTGGAGACACCCGCTGTCCCCACGCAGCTTCTGGTGCCCTGTTAGGGCATGGGATCGTTGGGATCTCCCCAGAGACCATTTTAGGAGGAAGGTCAGGTCTACGACTCTCAGCACTGCCCCACACCAGTGGCCCCTCTCAGACCAGTGAGAACCAGCAGGATGGCGTTACTGGACCTAACACGGAGTAAGGCTCTGGAGCTTAAATCAATAATGCACGAGTCTTTGAGAGATGATGTTCAGATTAGTAAAAGAATGTTCTATTTAACTAAAATATGGAAGGGAAATGCTATTGCTAGGCCAGCCTGGGGAACCTGCTCCCTGTCTCTGTGTGGGAGGGGGTTCAGGGCAGCGCTTTGCTGGTCCCCAGAAGCCGCCAGCACCTCTTCCATGCTCAGGGCAGGGAAATAATTGTGGTATTTCAGCTGCAGCCACTTCCCTGGCATGGCACCCTGACACTGCACTCAGAGAGCTGCTCTGCATCGCTCGTGGTAAATAACTACATGTGTACGCACAGCTGGGGCTCTCTCGCAGGAAGGAGATGGGCTCTGGTGATTCATGACTTCAGAGCCGCAGCTGTGAATTGTGAGCCAGGGGCTCGGGGCTGTAGGGTGTTGGGGTGATGCTTGCTCTGCCAAACTCAGGGGGACAAGGTGTGTGGCAGCACCCACGGGTGCATGCCTCGTCCCACGGGGCTGTGCGTCTCTACAGCTGCCACCGCCCCCAAGGCTCACGCGATTCTCTGGGTAACTGCTTTTTAACAGAAACCTGCACGTTTTTAGGCCATCTGCTTTGTCACAGCTGGGAGCACGGGGACACAAAAGTTTGAACCAATTCTCTTGGAATCTTGGCCTGAGTACGGTGCTGTGGAAAGTGGCTTTTCAGCACAAAACTTAAAAAAAAGGAAAACGCATGTGTGGGTCTGTGTGTGTGTATACATATTTACAACTTTTTCCCTCATTTTTTCTCAAAATTAATTTAAAAGTTGAAAACCCATGAATGAAAGGGTCAAACTTTCCCAGGAAAATTTCCATTTAGCAAAAGCCATTCTTCATCACAAATACCCACTGCTCGCTGCCCCTTAGGGAAGAGGCTCTGCAGTGTGGGCAGGAGAGCAGGGCAAGCACATGAGGAGAGTTAGACTAGCAGTGACAAACCACCAGTGCGGTTTTTTGTGTGCTTAATGATCTTTCATGGCAAAGATGTCCAGTCTGTTTTCCAGCCTAATCTGCCCAGGTTTTGTGCTCTCTGGCAGGTGCCCCGGGGGTACCCACGCCTGCGATGGTGCACAGCTGCCGCCGTGGGCTGCCTTTGCCTCTCTGCTCCCTGTGGGGGGGACAGGACAGCAGGCTCTGGCAGCTTCGCTTTCGGCTCTGGAAGGGGTTGGTGTTTGCTGGAGGAAGCCAGCGTGGTTCAGGCTGAGGAATGAGACTGTTGAATCTACTGCAGGGTGTGAACCCAGGCCAAAGCTCTTCATTAGCAGCCTGACTGGTGGCTGCTCTCTGCGCTATGTAGCACCAACCCCAGCCCCGTGAAACGCTGCTGTGTGTTGCAGGATGAGCAGCCGAGCTGACCGGCTGCTTGGCAGCGTGGTACAACCTGTGAGCTGATAGGAATGCAGTGCCACTGCCAGGGTAGCTGTGGCAGTCCCTGCTTTCCAGTGGACAAGGGGCTTTTCAGCCCCAAAGCCACCACAGGCAGCATCTAAGGAAGGGTTGAGAAAAATTCCCCACCAGAACTACAGTGATCTGTGCATTGCTCCTTCCCCACATTCCTGGCTGGTTCCTGACATTGTCTATGGAGGGAGGCTAGTACTTCACCTTCCTGCCAGGGCAAAAGCAGGGGGATCTCAAATCAGGTGCTGCAACACATGAAAGCATGTCCCCGAGCCTGGCAGCCAGCCACAGGGAGGGCAGCACCGCAACTCTTACAGGCAAAAGTTATTTTTCCTTGGTGTGAAAGGCAAAGACCTGTCTCCAGTGCCATCGTCCTGCCATGTGCTGGTGGCTGCTGCTTGCTTCTGCCCAGTCTCTCTTCCCCCCAGATCCATTGGAAGCTGGAGGTGAGTTATTCAAGCAAATCAAAGTGAAGCTCTCCTGCTGCTCTACAGCCCTTGCCCAGTGTGACAGAGAGTCATGGCTCCCCCGGCAGCAGCACCCACCCCAGGCAGCCCTTGTCCGCAAGGAAGGAGGGTGGTGGGAAGCTCAGAAATAGTAAAACCCCTCACTTCAAAAGCACCTTGGTAAGCAGTCTGGGAAAACAAATGCTTCCATGGGAGTCAGCTCCCTGCCATGCTTCTGTGCACAGAGCACTGCTGCTTGTGGAGGGTTTCTGCCCAGTCACCTGTGTTATGTTTTTAGGGAATCTGAACCTAGTCTCACATACATTCGGACATAGGCTGTTTAGTGGCAGCATGTTACCTGACTGCCTCTGCGAGCAAGTCCTGTCCCTTGGATTTGTTGTTAGTCAGCCGTGGGGTCTGTAGGAGCTGCTCTTGGCATTATGCATGAATTAATGTCTGTTAACTAATAGGTAAAATTGCAAGGCTGCAGCTGTGTTGTTTAATTATGAGCTCCGTGCACTGCTCCCCGTATCATTCCTATGGGTGAATCACTGGCTGTCATTCAGGCTGGAGCTGGAGCCACTAACTGCGTTATGGCAGGGAATGAAACGAGACGTGGGTCTGGATTAGAGGGTGCCTGAAACGCTTATTCACATGGGCCCTGCCTAGTGCCTTCACATCTCCTCCCACACAGTCCCTCATCCTGTTTGCAGTCACTCTCCATCATCTCTTGTAAATAGATGTGAAAAGATGTGTGCATCTTCAGTAACCGCCCTCCTCTCCTCCCACCTCCCCACCATCCTGGTGGTGCGGGGAAACAGCAACCAGCCCCAGATCACCCTTCGGATTCAAACACCGAGAGATGATGTGCCCCCAGTACCGATGCTCTCCCCAGCCTTTTGCAGGGAGATGGCGGGGGGGGG